CTGAGGAATCGAACCCAGGGGCTCAGGCATGCAAGGCAAGCGTTCTACCACTGAGCCACCTTCCCAGCCCCTTATTAAGTATTTCTAGTAAAGAATGTATCACTTAAATTAAAAACTGAGTTTTCCAGGAAAAATGTGTTAAATGTTCTTATAACTGAAATGTCTTACCAAAATTGTATACAAATGTTTATCATTATGAGTAAAAGGTTAATTAGCTAAAGTATAATATTCATAAACTACTTTTCCCTTTTTTGATATATGTTTAACTCTAAATCAAATCTAACATTTGGTCAACTTTTATACCCTAAATACTTCAAGAAAAATGATAAAAAAAAATCATTAAAACTCTCAAAAGAACAAAACTATTACAACTGTCTGTTATATATAGGACCCTTAAATAGGTACAAAGAAAACAGCTTTTTTTTTTTTTTTTTAAACTCTGGGCCTGGGCACTGCTGTCCTTCAGCTCTTCAGCTCAAGGATAGTGTTCTACCACTTGAGCCACAGCACCACTTCTGGCTTTTTTCTTTTTGCTTATGTGGTACTGAGGAATGAAACCCAGGGCCTCATGCATGCAAGGCAAGCGCTCTACCACTGAGCCACCTTCCCAGCCCTGTCCCTGAACTTTTTTGCTCAAGGCTAGCACTCTACCAGAGCCACACCTCTACTTCAAACTTCTTGGTAGTTAATTGGAGAGTCCCACAGATTTTACTGCCTGGGCTGCTATCCTCAGATCTCAGCCTCCTGAGTAGCTAGGATTATAGGCATGAGTCACTGGCACTTTTGAATTAAAAAAAAAAATTTTAAGGCAGAAAGACCAAAATTACCAGTCATTATCAGACTACTTATCATACTATTAGCACATTATTAGGTATATCTAATTCAGATTTCAAATAAATCTTTGGAAGGCCTTGTATAAACAGGAATAAAGTCAAGTTGTCAAAATCCCAAATCTTAGGGGAAAAAAGCACTACTTTATCACAAGCATAGGTAACTTTGCTATCATTGTGTTCTTGATTTCTATTGGCTATTAATGTTAATGCAAGTTTGAAGACAAGCTATCCTGTGCCAGGAAAAAGAAAGCATTGTATCCAGTTGCCTACTGACGTTTTCATAAAGATGTCATTACTTTAAGCAATGACATCAACAAAACAGAAGGAAGGACACTATCAGGCATTCTTAGGTAGGAAACTATTACTACTGTCTTAGTTAGAAACCAGAACATAAGCTGGGTGCTGGTGGCTCAGATCTTTAATCCTAGCTACTCAGGAGGCTGAGATCTGAGGACCGAGGTTTGAAACCAGCCCGGGCAGGAAAATACATGACACTCTTAATCACAGAAAAAGCTGGAAGCTGTGCTGTAGCTCAAGTGGTATAATACTGCCCGTGAGCAAAAGGAGCTCAGGGATAGTACCTAAGCCCAGAGTTCAAGGCCCAGGACCAGTTTAAAAAAAAAAGAAAAAAAAAAGAAACCAGAATATAAGAAGCCAGTTCGAAGATGCATCAGCTGCAATTTTGACTCTACTACTTGCAAACCCATCAGGGTATTCAACTAATATCTCTGGTCCATCAGATAATATATATTTTTTAATTTAATTGATTAATTAATTTTTTGGGTCTGTCATGGGGCTTCAACTCTGGGCACTGTCCCTAAGACCTTCAGCTCAAGGCTAGGGCTCTACCACTTGAGCCAGAGTGCCATTTCCAGCTTTTTCTGTTTACATGGTACTGAAGAATCGAACCCAGGGCCTAGTACATGCGAGGCAAGCACTGAGCCACCTTCCAGCCCCATTGGATAAGTTTTTTTTTTATGGTCATATATATGTTTTTTTAATTGTGAAAATACTGTACAGAGGGGTTACAATTACATGGGCAAGATAATGAGTACATTTCTTATCAAGCATTGTAGCCTCCTCCT